TTCGCCTATCAAACAGCCAAAAAAAGTGGAAAGTGGAAAATATTTTCCTACTTCCTCGGAAAATGTGGCCTATCAAACACGGCCTAAATTTATATAGGACCGTCGTGGCAAGCGTAGTCGTTTGTTTGAGTCCAATTCTTTTTCAAAAAAAAAAAAATTTACATTTTATAGTAGTGTTACGACAGAGAACGTACGGTTAAGAAATAAGGAAAAAATTTAGATTTGTTTGTAATATTATTTTACTAAAAAAATATGTGAATGAAATGAGGTCAAATCACTGTTTAAAAATCATTTTAATGAAAAATGAAATCAAACAAGGGCAAGATTTATAACAGAAAGAATATAACCACTTCGTTATACATTACGCACAATTTAACTACGGCAAAAAATTTAAATAAATAAACTCAAAGTAATCTTGTGCTACTCTCAACCCTCCAATATACACTCGCTTCATTTCTTGATGCAAATAACACAAGGTCATTGTCGAGTTCATCTACATTCTTTTTTTTTTTAATTCTTTTGTATATATGAATTGACAATCTTAAAAAAAGTTGGGAATTTGGTTTTACGAAGCAAATTAGCTCCGACTCTAACGTATAAGTTGATATATGTTAGGGATGACCAAAAAAACGCATTGCTTCATCTTGAATTTCTCTAATTTGCTCTAATTTTTATTTTTAAAATAATAATAAATAAAAATATTTTTTTTAATTCTCGTCTCTTCACTCTTTCGCCTCTTGAAAATCCTCGATGGACACGAGAACATTGAGGTCGTCCCCCAATTGTATTTTTAATATATTTTATTCTCATATGACTGTTTATTAATTAAATTTTTGGCATACTCTTATTACCAAATGAGAAGACATACATACTACTTTACAACTGATATCAGCTAAGACATGATGTCCTTCCATTTGTTAGCGAGGGTTGAGGTAATAGGATGTTTCAGGGTCTTGAATGTCCCAATCTCATTAGTTAAGGAAAGGATTTTGGATATGAACCAAACCCTAGCCAACTAGATTGACCCAAATTAAGTCGAGTCTGCAACCAACACGTGGACCAAAAATACTGGACTTCTTAATACGTCATACATATATAACTGATCAAATATCTAAAATCTCACGTTGGTTTTGAATTGGTTACATATAAATTTTAGTATCTATAACCCTAAAACTTTTCCATTAATTTGATGATTTTAATTTAAATACCTAGAAACTAAGGGCTTGTTCTCTCTTCTGTTTTCGGGCCATTTTCAATTTTCAATTTTCGAAAACACTGAAGACACGTTTATTTATCTATTTTCATAAATGAATTTTAAAAAACGAGTTTAAAATTTAAAAAGAAAACGAAAAATGCCAAAAAGTCGTTTTGACTGTTTT